AAGTCCAAATCTAGGCCGAGAGGCCTCAGCAGCAGTCGAACCTCATTGGGACTACACTGGGACACATGCAATGCAGGGTCTGGGACAAAGGATAGGCTGAATTGAGCAGCGATACCACCCTAACGCTCAAGACCTCGAAGGGGAAAACAGAAGGCGAGACCAGCGTCGGCGGATGGAGCACGACAGTCACCATGGACGAAGTTCGGTATTACGGAAGACATGTTCAAGTTGAGACAGAAATGGGGATGCTGTTTATGGTGCAACAACACCAAACACATCACTAGCACATGCCTCGAGAAGGACAAGGAAAATGTCAAGCGTCCAAGCTCGAGAAACTGAGCACCGCGGGAAGTGCAGCGACATCACTTCCCAATCCGCTAGACTCGGCTGCCTTGCTAGCAGTCTCTCTCACGTCCGGGGATGACGCGGTAGTCGCAAGTTCTCGGATTGACTTCGAGAACTATGCTGTCGAGCTGGTCCCCCCGTTGAACCAGCCTCTCCACGTGCAAGATTCAAGCGCAGGCGTGGTGTTACCATCGTCGGATAATGAACCGGTTGCCTCGCCAACCCTTCTATCGGAGGATCCGTCAACTTGGGCGAGTTTTGCGGAACTCGACCCGTTGACGGTTAAGGACTTCCAATGGTTGCCTCTTCCCTCCACTGGTTCTTTGCCAACACCGCATTGCAACGCCTTGATGACACATTTGCGATAATACTTGCATGTTGGAGTACCACCTCCGTCGACGGACAGCGGAGTAGCGGTTGCTGACCTTCGTAGCTATCTTGCGAAGATCGACCGCGAGCACGCAACGCAACGGTACGTGACATCGACGCGCCTCTCCTTTACATCACATTTAGATCGGAAAGGTGACCTGCAGTGCCTTGATCGGTTGTGGAGCGTCTCGCAACTACATCAGCCAAGACTTCATGGCACGCGCTGTGGCGCTGGGCTAGGCCCGCGCGTTCGAAGGAAAAGTCAGCCTACGCACGTCACGTTGATCGATGGTCACGCGCAAAAGTCAAAGTCAATCGAATGTTGCGTTGACTCCGTGCCTGTGTACTTTGCCCCGCTAGCATGCGAGGCCGTGTCATTCGACATATTGGACACTAAGTTCGACATGATCTTAGGCATGTCATGGCTGAAAAGCGAAGACCATCCGGTGAACTTTTATCGACGCACCGTTCACGTTCGTGATCGGCGTGGCGACCTAGTCCCGTGTGCGGTGCCACTTCCTCATCCTTCGATTGGTTGTCACGTGGTCTCCGCGGCGAGCATTCGCCAATCCATCCGGCGGAACGACATCGAGGAGATGGGCATATGTTTTCTTCACGCCCTCCCACCCGGTGATCAGCCCAAGACGGACAGATCGGACCCACGCATCATTGAGCTGTTGGACAGCTATGAGGTTGTCTTCCAAGCTCCCGCTGGAGTCGTACCGGACCGTCCCACACGCCACGGGATCACTCTTGAGGACGGCGCCGTACCTCCGTGCGGATGTATGTACCGCATGAGCGAAGAGGAGCTTCAAGTGCTTCAGGCACAGTTAGACGACACCTTGGCCAAGGGCTGGGTTCGCCCTAGCTGTTCGCCATACGGTGCTCCCGTTCTCTTCGCCCGAAAGAAGAACAAGGATCCTCGTTTCCGCATTGACCATCGGAAACTTAACACGCAAACGATCAAGAACGCCGGCCCTCTCCCTCGGATCGATGATTTTCTCGAGCGACTAGGTGGCGCCAAGTACTTCTCGAAGCTTGACCTGAAGTCCGGATATCACCAGATCGAGATCCAGCCGGGAGATCGGTACAAACCGCATTCAAGACGCGGTATGGGCACTTTGAGTGGATCGTCATGCCTTTCGGTCTCACCAATGCCCCGACTACTTTCCAAGCGGCTATGACGACAGAATTCCGCGACCTGCTCGACCGCACCGTACTCATTTACCTTGATGACATCTTGGTTTAAAGTCGGTCGCTGGACGAGCACCTCGAGCACCTTCACGCCATTTTGGAGCGGCTCCGTATCGCCAAGTACAAGGCGAACCGCGACAAGTGCAAGTTTGGCCAGCAAGAGCTGGAGTATTTGGGCCATTACGTTACGCTGCAAGGCATTCGTCCACTCGCGGACAAAGTACAAGCCATTCAAGATTGGCCGGACCTCAAGTGTACTACCGACGTCCGCTCCTTTCTTGGCTTAGCATCATATTACATGCGCTTCATCAAAGGTTTTCAAGGGATCGCTGCACCATTGTTGCGACTTCAGTCCCCCTTGGAGCCCTTCGATTTCAACGACGAAGCCCATACGCTGAAGACGGCCTTGCTCCAAGCTCCCATCTTAAGCGTCTATGACCTGACCTTGCCTACCAAAGTGACTACGAACGCTTCCGGCTACGACATTGGCGTGGTTTTGGAACAACATGACGACACAGACTAGCATCCGGTTGAATACTTCAGCCAAAAGGTGCCACCCGTCAATTCTCTTGATGATGCAAGGAAGAAGGAACTGCTAGCTTTTGTCATCGTACGTAAGTGTTGGTGTCACTTTTTCCTCGGGCGTCAGCGATTCACGTGGGCAACAGACAACAATCCGTTGACTTATTAGAAGACGCAAGACACGGTGAGCAGCACGATCGGTCGGTGGATGTGCTTCATGGACCAGTTCGACTTCACCTCCAAGCATATACCGGGCCCCTCGAACAAGGCAGCGGATGCTTTCTCGCGAAGACCTGATCTTTGCACCTTGGTGCACTCCACATTCGGCCTCGATGAGGACCTGCAACAGCATTTCGTAAACGACTACAAGTCGGATCCGGGTTTCTGCACACTCTATGCGGACTTATCATCCGATCAACCGCCGGCAAGCAATTACTGCATTGTCGACGGCTACTTGCTTCTTCATACACGAGGTAAGGACTTGTTGTGTGTTCCCCAAGACCGCATCTTGCGCACTCGCCTCCTTGGCGAATACCACGATTCGCGGCTGGCGGGACACCTTGGCGTGGCACGCACACTTGCTCGACTCCGCCAGCGATTTCACTGGCCGGACATCATCAGCGACGTCAACCGGTACATTCGGTCATGCGCAGTTTGCCATCGGAACAAAGGGCGTCATCAGCTCCCGTACGACGAACTGAAACCATTGTCGATTCCTCAGGAACCAGGTCTTTCCATTGCTATGGATGTGACCGGTCCTTTCCCTCGCAATCGCCTTGGCCATGATGGTATTCTCACGGTCGTTGACCGTTTGAGCAAGTACGCTCGGTTTCTTCCATGCATGTGTCATGCGACGGCTCCCGAGCTCGCACAACTTTTGCATATCGGCTGGTTTTGCAGCCATGGTGTTCCGGAAGACATCGTCAGCAACCGCGACACTCGTTTCATGTCAGCCTTTTGGACGACACTCATGGTGGAATCCGACACCAGCATGAAACTGAGTTCCGCACGGCATCCGCAAACGGATGGGCAAACAGAACGTGGGCACCAGACTGCACAGATGATGCTCCGCACACTCATCCGTCCGGATCAGAAGGACTGGGTTGACCGCCTTTCCGACATCGAGTTCGCCTACAACACTTCGGTCCACCCGGCGATTGGCGTGACTCCCTTTGAGTTGCATCACGGTGGACGGAAAGGTCGTATCTTCGCAGACATTTTGCTTCCACGGGCTGCCGATATCAACGCCGCTTGCTCCCCCGCTTCCACACGGAAGTACAAGGAACTGCTGGCCAAAGCCCGCGCAAATATGCAAAAGGCTCAGGTCCGTATGCAGCAGCAAGCAAATTGGCGTCGCATCCCATGTCCAATCTGCGTCGGCGACCTTGTTTGGGTCACCTCCAAGAAATTCGCGCTCGAGCAGCACGTCTCGGGCAAGCTCCTCCCTAAGTGGTTTGGTCCATGGAAGGTCACTTCAGCAGCCGAGGACGACCCCGCGGGTCCCTCTTTCATAATCGAGATTCCCCCGCATTTGACGGTCCACGCCGTATTTCACGCCTCGAAGCTGGCGGTCTACACTCCAGCCTCCTCAACGGACTTCCTAGGCAGACGGTCACACGACCCTCCTTAAATGGATGGTCACCAGGAGGTCGACCGCGTTCTCACTCATCGCAAGCACGGCAACAAGCCGATGCAGTACAAAGTTACATTCAAGCACTGCGATCCTGACGATACACGCTGGATTTCACGAGCTGACCTGAAGGCGACAGCACCCCTCATCTTCGCGCATTATGAAAAACAGCAACTTGCTAAGGAAGCTGCCCAACCTGCCCGCCCCGTACGGACATCGAACAGACAGCTTCGCCCTCGCAGTTAGCTCGGTCTTCAAGGGGGGGAGTGTGTGGCATACTGATACCCATCGGTTCAGTTTAGGGTCCGGACACCTCGTTTAGACCCCACCAGACCCAACGGCTAGTTGGTTAGGCCAGGTACCAGGTCCATCGGTAGGACCTGCTGGCGGCGCAGTTTTGGCGCCACTTTTCAGATTCCGAAATCAGATCTGAACCGTTGGGCCTGATCAGCGGTCCAGACCCAAAGGCCCTCAGTAGGACTGAGGCCAACCCAGCACTATATCAGCTGGGTACCAGCCTCAGTCGGTAGGTTAGTAGTAGACAGGAGGTTAGTCTTCAGGATTAGCACAGCATTTCAGCGTTAGCTGGATTAGCGCAGCGCTGCAGCGTTACCATGAGCAGTGAGGAGAGAAGGAGCTCAGCGGCAGAGAGGAACTAGCGCAGCGTTGGGAGCAGTGTCAGCCACCGGCCCAGCCCGCGGCCCGGCACCAGTCCCTGCGGCGCCATAGCTACCGTGTCAGGTACCAGGGAGAAAGGTCTTGCCTTCTCTCCCTCTTCCTCCTCCACCGCTCACTCTTTCTCTCTCTCTCTCTCTCTCCTCCTACCTTCTCAGTCTAAGTCTACTCCTGGGTTCTCCTACGGGACTACTACGAGTATGAAGGATGGTTACGAGTTCTGATGATATTTGGAGACTTCCTCTGAAGATGTACCTTGACATTGTGAAATCGATATCTGAGACATTGTGAGACACTGTGTTCGTGACATTTTGGATTTTCGCTACCTCTGACATTTCAAGATACTATCTTTGGAAACATTGAGTTGACGTCATCTTCCCTCTCCTCCTCCCTTCGTCGCTCCTCCCTCCATTCGTCCGTGTATGATCTCAGACCCTGGCCTTTCTTGTATGGCCAAGGCCAGGGCGTTCACACCACTGATGTATGATTGAGGGTGTTCGATTGCGGTCTGAGTCAGGTCAGAGTCAGTCCATGGGTATCAACTCTTCCGCTGTATTTGTATTAACTCTGTATTATCTGGTCGGTTCTGGGAATCTGGGCCATACTTATGACTGTGTTTCACGAGTATGCAACACCAGTGTAGTGCGCTGCGGGAACCCAGGGAGTGTTAACTGTGGAGTAATTGTGGCAGGCTGCCGTTGTTTTGGAGTAAATGGGTGGTGACTCCAAGTATTCTTGGCCGTAGTGTTTCTGGCCCAGTCGCAATACCTGGCATCCCTCCTTATGCATGCACAGGTTGTTTTGGATGTACCGGTCATGCCTGATTCATTTCATTTCACCGTGGTGCCAGCCCCGATGGATAAAGGGCAATGGTGGTTTAAGAGCTATGGCAGGCTCTGGCTTTGCGGCTACTGCAGATGCTTCCTCTCTCCCGGGCGCTATCTGGCCATTATGTACTGCTCCAGCGCTGCTGCATGCTGCCAATGCCTGAACGTGTGAGCTGCCCAGAAAGCCTCTCTTTTGTCCTTTTCTGAGGTGGGGTTCTGGGATACAGTAGGCAGTACCTCCTGCCTTCCAGTCTGAGTGGGGTCCCAGTCAGTGTAACTAACTGCAGGTTGGACATACTGGTTAGTTACTGAGGCTGGCGCCAGTCTCAGGCCCAGTACCTCTTGCTCGACCTTCAATTAGGGCCGGCCTTCTTGCATCTCACTGCGGACCCCCATTTTCAGGCCCTGGGTAACGAGTCCAAAACTGAAATTAGGGTTTCGGGGTCAAGTTTTATGTTTTTTTAATTTATTTATTTTTGCCTGTTCTTGTTTTGGTTCAAGGTTGGTGTGTGCCAAATTTTGTGTCATTTGGAGAATTGGAATTTCCTCTGTTAAGATTTCTGAAATTTCGCAAGATTTCTGAAATTGAGATGTTGGTGAAATTTCATGAAAATGCACTTTTGCCTTGCTGTTTTATATGTTTTTTTATTTTTATTATTTTTATTTTTTTTTGCATTTAGTTAGTATGGTCTCCACTCTACGAATTGGTGGCAAGCTTGATTATAATGACGAGAGAAGGTTAAACCACCAGTACCTCGCCCAGCTAAAAAAAACCGACGCGGCCGTTAACGCGCCGCGACTTTCGGGGTTCGGCACAGGCTGGGTACTGGGATGGAAGAGGGAGTGGGTGGGCCCAACGAAAATGAAGAGGACGCAGGGATGCAATCTGCACGGGTTCATCACGTGTGTTTCCACATGCGCGGGTGCAATGACGGAAGAAAAAGAAAACTGCAAAGAATAGCGACTTCTGGTCTACACACACTTTCTGAATGTATGTTCCCGCACTTGTGGCCTGCAGCGTTTTCCTGCTTTTGTTTTTTTGTCTCGCAAAAAAAAAAAAAAAAAGGAACAATCTTCGCTGTATCTTCGGCCACTCCGCGTTAGAAACGGGATCGTTGGAGTGTCTGCCACAAAAGTAACGTCTGGGGCACTCCACTATTACAACTTTCAGAATGTATCTACCTGCATCTGTGGCCCGCTACACATGAATCTGGGGCAATCACGTAGTGCACTTGTTTTCTCCTTTTTGTTTTCTTACAACTAAAAAAAAGACCAAAGATCTTGGCTGTATATGCGCTGACTCCCCGTTTTTCACGGGGAGCATTCAACTGTCTGCCCAAAACTGACGGATGTGGCAGGGCATGAGAAGCACAGTCCAGAGTGTATCTTCCCTGCAATTGCGACCTTCTACATGTGAATCTCAAGGCAATCACGGTTTCCATCTTTTTTTTTTTGGGGGGGGGGCAGTTGGGGAATAAAGGCAGATGCACTCTCGGGCACTTTCCAGCATGTATCGGACTCCACTATCGGCCGGCTACACCTGAATCTAGGGCAATAACGTAGTGCACCTGTTTTCGCCTTCTTTTTTCCTTGCAACTAAAAAAAAGACCAAAGATCTTGGCTGTATCTGAGCTGACTCCCCGCTTCTCATGGGGAGCATTCAACTGCCTGCCCAAAACTGAATGCATATGGCAGAGCACGGGAAGCACAGTCGAGAGTGTATCTTCCCTGCAATTGCGGCCTTCTACATGTGAATTCAAGGTAATCATATCATATAGTCGTTTTCCCGTTTCTGTTTTTTTTTCACAATGGCTGCTCTCTCCAGAATGTATCTGACTGCACTTGTGGCCACGGCCGCCACGCCCAGGGTGCTGAACGAGTGAAAACGACGGGCGGTACCAGTGCCACTCCAGAAAGTATCCCAAATCGGTTCCTGCCCGCTCCAGGCTCGGCAACACTTGGCGCGCAGGCAAAAATGAGGTTTGGGCCTCAACAACCGGTAGGTACTGGTGGTTTAACGGAGACCCTAATTTTCAGACCACTTGCCATGCCATTTATATGAAAACCAAAGGGTCATTTTAATCAGGCTTGCCACCAATTCGTAGAGTGGAGACCATACTAACTAACTGCAAAAAAAAATCAAAGAAAAAAAAAAAAACCATACAAAACAGCAAGGCAAAAGTGCATGTTCATGAAATTTCACCAACATCTCAATTTCAGAAATCTTAACAGAGGAAATTCCAATTCTCCAAATGACACAAAATTTGGCACACACCAACCTTGAACCAAAACAAGAACAGGCAAAAAAAAATAAATTCAAAAAACATAAAATTTGACCCCGAAACCCTAATTTCAGTTTTGGACTCGTTACCCAGGGCCTGAAAATGGGGGTCCGCAGTGAGATGCGAGAAGGCCGGCCCTAATTGAAGGTCGAGCAAGAGGGGTACTGGGCCTGAGACTGGCGCCAGCCTCACTAACTGACCAGTATGTCCAACCTGCAGTTAGTTACACTGACTGGGACCCCACTCAGACTGGAAGGCAGGAGGTACTGCGTACTGTATCCCAGAACCCCACCTCAGAAAAGGACAAAAGAGAGGCTTTCTGGGCAGCTCACACGTTCAGGCATTGGCAGCATGCAGCAGCGCTGGAGCAGTACATAATGGCCAGATAGCGCCCGGGAGAGAGGAAGCATCTGCAGTAGCCGCAAAGCCGGAGCCTGCCATAGCTCTTAAACCACCATTGCCCTTTATCCATCGGGGCTGGCACCACGGTGTAGCAGGTAGGCCGGTACCGCACCCAGTAGCAGTAGATGTGCCGGGTACTCTAGGCCGAGCAGAAGAAGACAAAATTGGCATTTTTAGAGGCCCAGTAGTGGTAGGCTAGGTCTAGGCCGGTACCAGTCCATCCAGTCTGAGTCTAGAGCCTGTACGGGCAATATCAGAGTCTGCAATGATGTTTCCCTCCGAAAGGGAGGAGGTAATGGTTGCTTGGGAGGCCGAGCGGCCTGGAAGTCACCGCCCAGGAGGCAAGCAGGCCGCTATATCAAGAGGCCGAGGCAAGAGCTCGGCCTCATTCTTCAGTGTGCAAGTTTGGCGACACGCTGCTGGAGCGCTGGCTGGAGTGGCGCTGGGTACTACAGCGCTGCTGGGAGGAAGAAGTCGGGAGCTTCCCCCTTGGCTATGGTGGAGCTCTACCAGTAGGAGGAGGAGGGAGAAGGGGACCAAGGAGGAGAGTGGAGAGGTACTTACCTGGCTATGGTAGACACCATCTTCATCACCTTGCTAGGCGCTGCATCAGGAAGGCGCCAGTGGGGGTAGTGCCGCATCAAGGAAGCTCGGGACAGAGTCAGGCATGGTGGCTGAGTGGGCAGCGGCATAGCTGCATGGTGTTGACCTTGAAGTGGGGCAGCGACACAGCTGCTTTGGGTTGTCCTTTGGACAGGAGGGAGAG